TACTTTTTTTTTCCTTTAAAAGGAAACACCATTTGCATCCTTATCCTGCAAAGAAAATGTCTGCCTCATATTTTATTTTTCTTTCTTTACTACCTTCTTCCACCCATGTGAGGAAATCCCAAAGGTGCTTTTTCAAAAGGCAACTGGACTTTCTTTGTTTTTGCTTCTTGAAGACGTTTTGCTTCTTTACTTCTTTGCTTGTTTTAAAACTGAAGAAGCTTCTTGAATGAGAAACAAAATATTGTCAAGCAAAAACAAAGAAAATCCAGTTGCCTTTTGAAAAAGCACATTTGGGACAACCGTGCCCTGGATGACTGAGAATCTCCATAGACATGCAAGGCTGTATCCCAGATGTAGCTCAAACAGTACAAGTGTTCTGACCTAGGCTTCTCGAGAGCATGATGCAAACTGCTTGTCCTAACAAAAAACCCTTTTATTAATTTACGGTTGAGTTCTGCTCATTCACATCCAGCAAAGTCTTTCAAGGGAGGATTTACAGTCACAGACTTTATCTGGCGTGGAGAGCTGCCAGGCCGATATCTGCAAAACTTAGCAAGGAGTCTCGAAGAGTCACGAATCAATTAAGTGAACTAATTGTCTCCTGCAAACCCTTTCACGCATCTTTTATTTCCTCTGAGAGGGCTCATTCATCATCCACCTGTGGCCTTACTCCCAAGTCAACCCCTGTTCTTCAGCTGTTCCCTTCTTCTGGCAACTCTGCACATGCACACCCTGGGAAGAGGCTCCAGCTCTGGAGTCTGCCTCATTGATGTCTGACTCTGAAGGGAGCTGATAACTGGCATAGGGCTCTGGCCCCCTATCTTCCTCTGATATAGAGCATTCATCAGAGTCTTCCCCAGACTCCAGGACTGGCCCATATTCCTCCCCAACTTCCTCACTGTTGAAACAGCTGCCAGCTCAACTGGGGGGCCACAACAATAAGTGAAACCTAGTTTGAATGTCTGGTTTCATATTCTGTGATGTCAACTGTAAACCAGGGTGTGTTTTTTTTCTGAATCCTTACCTGGTGGTTTGGGGTTTTTTGTGGGGGTTTTCGCACGGCACACATATGTTTAAATTATAAATGTCTATTTGAGCTGTGCAAAAATTTTGAAAGCATGCTTTGCTTTGACAATGCTTTCAACAAAGTATCCCTTTGAAGGAGCAGCCTGAAAACTTTGAAGCCCTTACTTCTAAAGAGCAAACAAAGAATACCCAGAATATACAGTATCTCTTTTCTGACACTTCCAGTAGCCAGAGGTGATTTAGAAGTGATGCACAGCGTCTCAGTGTTGTGAATTGCATCATCATTGTGCTTCAGCAAAGCAAATGGTATTGTCTCTGAGGCACAAAATATCTTATAGAGAACAAAGCTCAACTGTCTCATAAACGTTTAGTATGCTGTATGGGAACAAGTAGACAGACAAAGAGATGTGGAGGGAGTAAGATTCCTTGCCTTAGAAGAATGAAAAACAATTGGCTGAGTAGATGGAATAATTTTTGAGCAAGCAAGCCTGTTCAAAGTGCTTCATAACTTCAAAGTTCAAAAGAATATTCTAATTAAAAGATTCTCTAAGTGCTTTTTATTTTGCTTTCAATACCATACAATTGGAAGAGGAAGTCTGTCTTTTCTAATGACCAAATATAAATACAAGAGAGAAAAGAGAGTTACTTAAAGCCAAAAGCTCCTCTTTAGTAGCTTCAGGCATGAAATCCTCTTACCTTTGCTACCAGTTCAGAATCGGGAGCGCACACTCATGCATAGTGCTTCTGCGCATGCGCAGAGCATCCGTGATGACATCTGGGCGGGTGGACAGAACCTCCTGCCACCACTACCGGTGGTGAACTGGCAGAATACCACCTCTGATTAGCTTGTTATATGTACATAAGGGTGATTACAAGAGTCTCATTCTTTCTGAATGATAAATTCTGATAAATTTCTTAGGTGAAAGCCAATTAATTTTTCAGTAAGCTTGAAGCCTACATATAGATGGCTAATTGTGTGAGAATTTGTAGAACTAGACAAGAAAGAGGATTTTCTTTCACTGAGGAAGACTTCATAAATTGCATTGCACCAATAGGAGCAATAGCACTTAGACTTATATATATTGCTTTACAGTGCTTTACAGCCCTCTCTAATCATCAGCATATTACCTCCAACAATTTGGGTCCTCGTTTTACATGGAAGGATGCAAGGCTGAGTCAACCTTGGACCTGGTGAGATTCGAACTGCCAAATTGCAGGCAGCCGGTAGCCAGCAGAAGTAGCCTGCACCACTGTGCCACTGTGGCTCAGCACAAAGAACAGATACATTTATTTCTAACTTTAGGCCAAACTTATTTTGCAAATATAATTAAATTCTTAAAACATGAGAGTAAAGGGCAGGAGCCCTTAGTTTACTGTAAATTCAATGTTGAAAGTTCTGTCTCCAGATATTACCTGGCATGCAAATTGTTTACATTACTGACTTAGGGTGCAATTAATTTCTTGTATACACACACACACACACACACACACACACACACACACACACTACTTAGAAGTAAATCTTCCCATTGCAAACATATCATTGACATGTTTTGCAAAGTGGAATCCATAGATCAGAGCTGAAGTGACATCTTGACATTTGTTTTA